TCACCCCACCGCCCCACCGCCGCGGACGCACTCACAGAGATTCAGTCCTCCCCCGAGGAGACAACTCGATCGTCTTTGTTCTCGAAGAATTTTCCATTATCGCCATGGAAACGCTTCTCACCGCGCTGCAGCGACTAATTAGTCGCAATTACAAATAGTGATAAGCGAATACTCTGAAGATGCCTTTTGCGATTCCGCTTATTTTAAAACTGACATAGATGTCCGCGTCCACTGATGCATCTTTTCCAATCGCGTTAAACGCCTAGAGTATACTGCGCTTCACCGATTAATATGGCTCTCAGAGAGTAGAATAAAATTGAAGAATATGTATTCGACAGAGATGCTATTTGCCTTGTTCTGTTCTACCATTCACTCACTGACACGATCAACATCGTTGCTTGGTGGTTCTATCCTGGTAGAGACTCGCAGACGTCGAAAGCACCAGTAGTATTTGGTAGCCTGACTACGACACTCGATATTGCACTCTGCAGCACCGTAAAAGTTCTGAGTCTGAAGGCCGATTTAACGATGCTTTTCAAGGTCAACTTGACTGGAACTACTGAAAACCGAAATCTGTAGAGTGACTGTGAAGAAGAGATCTTTGTAGCTTACAGAAAAGTTACGTATAACCGAATGACGATTACAGTCGATCGCTCATCGATTGCAGGTTGCGCGGCATGGCTGCTGCAAGCGTAAATCGAGAATACGTCAGGGACCTCGGCGAGCAGATACGTTACAAACGTGAAAGGATTCTGGTGAGTCGATAATCCCGGACAAGACGCCTGCAAGTCTCTAAATGATCGAAGAATCGCGCTGTTTTCTAGGAAGAGCGAAGGCGCGAGCAGGAAACTTCTCGTAAACACTTTGATACGTGGAGAAGATTCTGGGGCAGGCCAGGTCACGGGGCACCGACGCAGCATCTCTACAGGACCAACCTCTACGATATTCTCTATCGAGTGGCCCTTTAATCACTCTTGGAATCGTATCTACAGGATCGTTCGGAGGATCTCGAAAAAGAAAGACACCTGCTGCCTCGCCATCTACAGAGAATCGAGACTCATTCGCCAGAGATCGTTAGAATCATCGCACCGAATCTGCGGTCCAGTAGGTTCTCTCTCGGGCCATCCGCATCTCCCGCACCTTCCATGTCGATCGATGCCGCACAAGTGAACGTATCCCAAGTAGGAATGTATCTCCTGATCCTTTAAAGTTCGGACCACTGCTAATTTCCTTGATCACTAATTAAAGGCTAACCGAGCATATTTCTGGATGAGAGATTTAAAATCGAGACAAGGGCAATGGGTGACCGGGAATGTAAAATTGATGGAGTCGATCGAATTAACGTGGCCCATTGGGTCTTCAAAAGATTAAACGAGATGATTTCCTCTTGTCTCCGATGTCTCCTGACTCCACCCCCCCCCCTCCTTTCCTCTGCAGCCCTCTGTCCCTCTCCAAAATCCTACACGTCTCGTTTCGCGAAGCCTCGGCAGTCCTGCAACCAGAGTACCCGTCGCAACCGCCGCAACCGCCGCAACCGGCACACCACCATTGTCCTGGCTATTGTATCCTGTTACCACTGTCGCCCCGTTTGTATAAGGGTGATTCATTTTCCGCGAAATATCAGTTCCTGTACCGCTGAATTTCAGCCCGTAAAACCGGTTCGCATTGTTATGGAACTGGGTCGCGCTTACTGGCTTGTAGGTCTCACGACGCAAAGCAGAACTCCAACCGCTCACGTATCCACGTCTCGACCTGGATGGTGTCATCCTTCTAATAATAGGAACGGGCAACTGCAAGCTCGAAAAGTGCCTTTAAAAAGCACAAACTTTTCATTATAGCCTCATGAATGGGCTTTCACAATTATTTGGCCCGATCTGACTAGCTCGAGTTTTATTAAATCCGGTTTCATCAAGCAGTTCACTCGCTTTCCACTTGGAAAATATGAGTTAGCCTCGCTAATTCCCATCGATCTCCACGTATCCACGAAGCTCCGTGAATTACACTTGGATTGTCTTAGGGGTCGCGATTAACTTGTTGCAGGTAGACGGGAAACCGGAAAATTGGGAAACTGCTCTAGGACGGACACTTCCTTCCGCCTTGATTGGTAGGTAGGCCCACAACAATTTCTTTAAAAGCTATTGCGGTGACTTTGCATCATCAAAAGCCACCTCCAGCAGCAATATACATACAATACAGTCTTTGTTCTCACAGACATTCGATCCGTCGCCAACTGCAGCGACGCAAAGTACTTGGTAGGCTTTGGGCTCGAGTAAGTGTTCAATTATTCCTCTGAGTATTTGCAAGCGGATATGCATCGCGTGTGGCCAAAGTCACAGTCAAAGCACTTCAGTCACAGTCGTCGTCGTATTTTCTTTAGATATACAAACGTGGTAAGACATTTTCAAAGCAGGAGAGCATGGTAGCCGATTATTTAGTTGAAACAAATCTAATATCGTAATACAGAGATAGATGTGGGTGGGCGAGGGGGCGAGGGGGGGGGGGAGATAGACAGTAGTTCTACTGATTTCATTTACTGTCGCCATTACCATGCCTCCAATGCAGATTTAAAACTAACTTGTGAACCTTTAAGCATTTTTTTTCCAGTTGTATATATTTATATATTTCTATCAACTATATTCTATGTAGAATTCACGTATAAAACATATACAACTTATATAGAACATTCCCACCTAGGTTGGAAAAATCTTTGCACTTACGAAGATTATGCGGAAATCGAATAATTGGATTTCGAGGCTTTGTTGAATTGTAAAAATTGGATTTTCTTCCCTTTTCCGCATTGGATCGGCACTTCAAGGATAGCTGCGTTCACAATCAAGCATAGTGAATTCTCGTATTCGTTGGAACGTATCTTGCATTGGAAATTGATAGCACTTTTGACGCAAGTTGAAGATAAGTGCTCATTTGACGACGACGGCGTTAAAAGAAACCTCCCAAAAGAGAAAACAATAAGATTAAGTATGTGGGGATCTCAAGTGTGATTGGCTGACGTATCGTATGCTTCTCGTTCGAGGCGCTACACATGTAGAAGAAAAAGCAATGGTGACGCGACGCGTCGTGCGAGATCGCCTTGCTAAAGAAATGTAATTTATCAACGGATCATTGGATGACGAAGCCAGAGGAGGCAGTGCTCGAGGAATCGATACACTCCAACGCTTCTTTACCCTTAGAGCCTTGAGACTGGCAATCCTGCAGATAGTTTCGATGCGTAATTACGTATACACGAAGGGGGCCGACTACTTGAGTGCGCGCACTTAAAAGTTGAGCCGAGTATATCGAGCGGCAGGCAGCCGGCCTGACTCCTCGACTGCCTGGACTGCCTGGACTGCCTGGACTGCCTGTCGCGGGGGAGGTCGATGGTCCTGCTGACGCTTAAACTCCAAGGTGCACCAGTTGTTCTAGAAGCCACCGCGCAATCCTGACGTTCGTTCCACCACCTTCTCTTACTTCCTGCTCGTTTACTCCGATTCACTCTGGATTCGGCCGATCAAGCGACGGCAAAACAACCATGGCACGACTACGGCTATTACTATTATTACTATTGTACTACTATCAACAAAGAAGGAAATAAATCGCAACGAGTTCCGTCATTTACGATAAAATTGATGGTCCATAAAATCCTCTATTAAAATATTTCGATTTCAAGATGGTCGCCATCACAAGGTTGTATCATACTTGGTTGGCAGCGATTGCCAATTCTCCTCGTCGTAGTAAAACCTTTATATGAGACACAAGAGATGGACCTAATGATTCTTTCGAGTTCGGCGAGGATCACATTGTCTCTCGCGACCTCTACCGCGCTTTGTCGGTTCTTTTTATATTTTTCTTTCCTCTCAGTCAGAGAAAGAGTTACCGAGTCAGTGGATTTTGCGAACAACATTAATCTGAAAATTTAGGCTGACTTGGGCAAGTGACATTTATTCCCTCTGCGTCTCTAAATGTCATTATTGTGCAATGCGTCTTTTGCTACAAGTTCAGAAACGAATATAGTCCTTTCGCGAATGTATGTACGTGAATCACGCGTGAGGGTGGAGAATGTTGCGTGGTTTTGTCAATAGGTAAAATTAGGGGTGGGGATTCAATATCCTCCAATTCTTACAATTAGTTCTTTGATGCTCTATCCGGGAAATATGGAAGATTCAAAATTGAGTGTCCTGAAATATCGAAAGGACGAACTCCCGAGATCCTACATTTGTACATCGTCCGATGGAATCTCCCGAAAGGAATTCTTCCCCATAATGTCCGGTCGTGACTATTGGAAGGAGTCGTATTTTCGGATTCCAGCTGACGTACAATGTCCACGGAGCAATTCGGTCGAAATTATGTGACGATTTTATTTCTCTTTTCAGGAAAAGTCACTCACTTCGCTTTCATGCAAAAATATTTTTATTTTTCATGGAATTTGTTCTTGATTTACCCGCTGCTTGAATTGAGGCTGTCTGGAGCTCGAAACACTCTCGGGAGAATCTCAATGAGAATGGTCCGATGTATATTTCATAACCTCAGGTTTATTATTTTTCTCTTTTTTTCTTTCTTTTTTTTTCCCTGTCCGATGAGCTGCGCTAGCACCTAAGCGTGCCTAGAGCATCGCCTTTCGCCTTTCGCCTTTCGCCTTTCGCCTTTCTTAATCTGCTAGCGGGCGCAGTCTTTTCGCCCTTTCTTCTTATTCACTCTGCCGGTTTCGTTGCTTTGCTACTAAAGAGTAGGCACTTTGGTTGCAGTCATTGGCTAATTGCACTCAGCGCCACAGAATAATGTTGATAGGAGCTGAGAACCACAGAGGAGATCGATTCACTCGCCACGCTGGAACAGAATAAAGGCCTCTGTACTTCTGTAATAAAAATTCGTTGAGCTGCCTTTAGAAGTTCTTGATATAAAGTAGACGGAACTGGTAATCCGGATAATTCAATCGCTTTAAACGTTCTAAGCGCACTGAGACTCGAAGTATCTTCTCGTCGTCTCGTTTGGGCAGATTTTTACGTAAAGTTACGAATTTTGCCGCAAGGAGCTCGTCGCTCGTTCCCTTGGGAAGAGACAAGGCGAGGAAGTTCATGGAAACGGAAGAGGAAAATCGGAAAGCCGGAAAGTCTCATCCCCTTTATGGGCAACCTCTAATTAATGAATCTCGTGGTTTATAATCTCGCTAATAAAATTTGCACGGAGGTCTTCGATTTTTATTCTATTTCGAAAAACTTTTACGAACCAAGTAAAATCAAGTCTCCATTAATCAAAGCGCATTAGGACATCCACCTCGGCTTGACTATAGAGGCGCTACTGCCGGAAATGAAATATTGAAATACGCGACGCGGCTTTCTCAGGTAGCTGCCTCGCCTCGTAGGTCTTATTTTCGGGGGGTTGCCGCGACATTGCAGGAAAGCAGGCATCGATGAAGAAGTGAGAGGATACAAGCAAAAGTATGCTTGGTATTGTAAAAAGATTGGCGTTTTATTACAGTGACGTAGGTGTACACGTGTGATGATACATATACCTAGTGCCGTGACTCTTTGTCCCTCTTTCTTAACAAACAATATCATCGAGGTACGACCACTCTCGCACTAGCCTATAACTCCTTTCTACAAATTCTTAAGACGTGTACGCATTCACTTGGACACCATCGCGCACTCTCGATCTTCTCTTCTTCTTTCTATTAGTAGAGATTGGTAGAGATTCGTTCGTCGGCAAGGGATGCAGCACGGTAGATTGACAAGTGTCAAGCTCGACAGTATAAAAGGAACATCCAGATGAGAACGCGAGTATGTTGGATGGTCAGCGCTCGATGCCCTGAGACGTTCTCGGATGATGACGATGGAGACGACAGAGACGACAGAGACGACAGAGACGACTGTGTCGAGAACGCCAGGGAAAAGCAAATTGGGATCGGAAAATAGATTAAGTAATGCTGATAACGGGGGAGTACGGGGGAGACGTAGTCATCAGGATGTCGGCACCACTTGGCCACGAACAAAGTCCCAAGTTATAATACGAGTAGTACAGTACTCCGTGGTATTGAGTCGGCAACGCGTCACACTATTCTATATGTAAGTCCCTAACGAATTTCTCGCAATTTCGAGTGATTTCAACTACGGCGCGTTTCAACACAGCCGCGCCTAACAAAAAATCGCAATCAAACTCGATCGACGTCCGCGCTCCATTATACTTAGCGTTATCATTAGTACTACCGTTACTATTCTCAAAGTAAATTAAAGCTCGTACAAAATCACTTATATAAAATCACCGTACTTTCGGCGACTCTTCTAAGCGTCAAGGACGGGTCTCGTACCTTCACCATTTCATTTTCCTTCTGTGACTCCTTCTCTCGTATTTCTTATAGACGTTAATGCCTTTCCATCCACTTCTTTTCCTTTTCCGCTCTCTATGCCCCTATCCCAATTTACTCTCAACCCCGCTTCATTCGGGCAGCTTATCGGTGCTACCATTTTCGTTCATCTTCCTACAGTTGACCACTTATAGTTTGCGTTCGTCGTTAGACGTTGAGAGACGCGTTACCCATGGTGCTTATGAAGCTGGGATGGTGGCCACTTTCCTGGATGGCGGCTCTGGCTGCTGCAGCCTGGCCAGCCTCGCCGCTCTGGATGCTAAAGTGTCTATAGGAGATGTACTCGGGTGGAATAGGTTGCTGATCCCTCTTGACGGCCTCTTTCTGCTTCTTGACCTTGAGGTAACCCAGGACGGAGACAAGAACGACGAAGACGACAAAGCCCATGCAGCAACCGACGATCAGCCCAAGTCGCCTCGTGAGAATACTGCTGACGCCTGTGACGTCGCTCACGGAGCCGTCGGTGCCAATTACGGCGCCAGGTGCTTCGAGGGTCTTGACCTCGGTGCAGCGGCTCGTGAGAGAGTCAATCATCTCTGGGAAGGCGTTTGATTCAATGCCGTCGCCTCTGGAGTCGCTTAGCCTCTCAACTGAACTTTCTTCGTCGTGGTCACTCATCGCGAGCCAATTCCCAAGCCCGAGGACGCATATCAAATATCGCGTATTGGAAAGAAGTTTCGAAAGTTTTACGGATCGGGCATTCGGCTCGAGCACCTTTCCGCGAACCTAGAAATCATAATGAGATATTAATAAGCCGCATAGGGAAACGGGAAAAGGGAAAAGGGAATCGTGATTGTTCCCATTTCTACTCGATTGATTCAGTTGGACTTCGTCGAGTCCATTTTGAAAATTGGCACAATTTGTTCATTCGACTGACTACAGTCGAGAAAAGGAAAGTCAAGTAGAGTTCCTTAGCTTGGTAAGGCGTGAGGTCGAGGGAATGTTGAAATATGTTGAAATCCACATAGGCAGATTTCATGTAGCTACACAGAAAGGCCACTTGGGTGCGGACATTGCGTGATAGAAAGTACTTGGGTTTGAGTCCAGTGTTTGACGCTGAAAACTATGGAGGCCAACGAGGGGTTGCAGGAGCTCTGTGGACTGGGCCGACGTGCGTGCACATTCACGTTACCTCGTCAACACTGTCGAGCGCGTGATAGGCGACCTGGTATCCATGGAGACCCGAGTGATTTCGGCTCTGCCACGAAACGAGGACCGAGAACGGCTGTATGTCCTGTATGGCGAGTTTTAAGATCAACGGAGCTGAACAGAAGGCGTGCGGGTCGAGGTCCAGGAAGACGAGCCCACGAAGCTCCGGGGGTTGCTCGCACCGCAGCAGTCCGACCTCCATGTCCTTCATCCCTCCTCCCATTCCAGCAGCCCTGTGGCGTCCAAGACCGCCGACTAGTTTCTGATGATCGCGCAACCATTCCCACAATTCCTGAGACTCGCAGCCGCAATGTAGAGGATTCTCTGCGAAGAGAAAGCCCGTGGTGCAGCATGAGAATAGATAATTTGCCGATACACTAGAAATTGTAGAAAGCACGAAAATGCGCAGAGAGTATAGGGGGATAATGTGTTTGCGGAATGACAGTATTTATTAAAAATAGACTGACCTTCGGCTCGTAGACTTCGGATCTGGGTCTCGAGGGGACGAAAAGCGTTCAATGGTAGATTCTCTAGGTAATTTCTGCTGAGGTCGAGGATTCGTAATTTCTTGAGAGGCCTGAACGCGTCCGAAGATATTGAAGAAATCCAGTTTCCGTAGAGGTGAAGTTCGGCGAGACTCTCAAGATGCTGGAAAGTTCCCTTGCGGACGGTGCCAATTTGATTGTAGGATAGATCGAGGACTTGGAGGTCCTTTAGATCGGGAGGGAAATCCTCTAGCTCCTTTAGCCGATTGTGGGTAAGGTTGAGTAAGCGCAGATGTTCGAGACCCTTGAGTCTCTCTTGCGGGAGCAGGTCCAGCTCGTTCAGACTGAGGTCGAGGGTCAGGAGCTCGGGCAGGGCGCGGAATGCGCTCGGCGAGACTCTCGATATCATGTTACTGCCCATAAAAAGGTGCATCAGCGCCGGGAAGGCTTCAAAGTCCTGGCTCGTGACTATCGTCAGATTAGTCCCGGATATGTGAATTTCACGTAGAGCTGGGTAGCTCGCTTCGGAACTGATCTCGTGGATCCTCGAGAGAGGATTTGCGGTGAGATTCAGCCAGCCGAGACTCGGGATATTTTGTGCGGAGAGAGCGAGTGCAGGGATCTGTCGGAATCTGTTTCCTGCCAGTTCGAGTTTACGCAGAAGACTGGAGCGCAGAAAGAAGTTGGCTGGTAGAGCCGTAAGATGATTAAGGCTTAGGTCTACGGAAAGAAGTCGTGAGAGATTAGCGGCAGCAAAACCGGAGAGAGATCTTATGCCGTTGCCACGCAAGTCCAGTTCTTTAAGGCCGACGAGTCCGTTGAGACGCGAGGCGTCTACACGGAGGATCGCGTTGTTAGCGAGAGAGAGAATCTCGATGGTGGTAGCGTTTCCGAAGACGTCGTAAGGCACCTCCTGAAAGCGATTCCCGTCCAGCTTGACTTCCTTCAATGCATCTAGCCCGATAAAGAGAAGTCCGGGCAGTGACTGCAGAAGGTTATTGCTCAAGTGAAGCTTGCCGAGATTTTTGTTCTTCAAGAATAACTCGGCGGGCATCCGGTGAACTTGTCCAGCGTCCATAGTCAACTGCTGCAGGGACGGCAGACCGTCGAGCGAGTCGCCGCTTATCTGGCTAAAGTTGTTGTAGGAGATCCGGAGAACGCGAAGTCCAGGTATATCGAGGCGATCGAGAGCAGCGGCCGTCAAATGGTTGTGTTCCAGGTTGAGCTCGTAGAGATTATTAAGCCCGCGGAAGGCACCGCGTTCAATTACACTGACTGTGCAATTGCGCAAGTTCAAAGTTCTGATAGGCAAGCCTTCCTGAAAGATACTGTCGTGAAGGACGTTCAGGTGGTTGTTGGCGAGGTCGAGGACTCGAAGTCTCTTGAGGGCCGTAAGCGCGTACGGATCGAGACGGCTCAATCCGTTGTCCTGAAGATAGAGCTCCTCCAGCTCGTGGAGTTCCGAGAAGGTCCTGACGGTCACGTGGTTCAGTCGATTCATGCTCAATTCAAGGAACTTGAGGGCCTGCATCGGCTGAAAGGCCGTGTCCTCGATCCGCGATATTGAGTTGTTCGTCAGATAAAGACGTTCGACGAGGAGAAGGTCGCGAAAGAGCGGCGCCTGAAGACGCGTCAGCCGATTGTGCCCGAGCCACATAATGCGCACCGACGCCTGTCCGCGCAACGAGTCGTTGTGAAGTACGCCCAGCCCATTATTGTCCAACTGAATCGAGACCAGGGAACTTCCGGGCGACATTCCGTTAGCATTTTCGTTCCCGTGGCCATTTCCATGTCGCTCGGGATCATTCCCGGACACCTGAAAGACGTCGCCAAGAACTGCGAGGAGGTTGCCCTGAAGGTTCACGTGTTGAAGGCTGTGAAGGGAACGAAGTGCGCCCGTCTCCATGTCGGTGATTGCGTTGTTCTGGAGGTGAAGCTCCAAGAGGGAGGGCAACGGGGAGAAGACACCTCGCTTCACCTCGGCGATCTGATTGTCTTGAAGCCGCAGCTCGCGAAGCTGATTCGCCCTGGCGAACGTCCCGACCTCAAGCTCGCGGATACTGTTCCCGTCGAGCGAGAGAGAGGAGAGTCTCTCGCAGTGTTCGAGAAAGTCACGCGGAACCCTCTCGACGTAATTCCCGCTGAGATGCAGTTGCGTGAGTCTGCCGAGGGTCGCGAGGCCCCTCGCGTCGACGCGCCTTATTGCGTTCTGCTGAAGGTAGAGGACCGACAGGCTGGAGCTCCCGGCAAAGGAATCCGCCGGAATTTCGAGGATGTTGTTTTCGGCGAGAAAGAGCTCCTTTAATTCGGGCAGCCGAGAGAAGACGCCTCTGATGTAATGGATGTGATTGTGACTGAGGTCGATCGACCGTAGCTTCTGATTCGCGCGAAATGTCGCTACGTCGAGAAAGACGATCTTGTTGTGGCTGAGGTCTATCGACTCGAGGTCAATCAGCGATATGAAGGCATCCTTATCAACGGACTCAATTGCATTGTAGTAGAGGGAGAGGGTCCTCAAGGAGGGACAACAGCGGAAGCAATTCAGAGGAATTGCTTCGAAGTTGTTGCTACTCAGGTCTAGGAAGTTGAGAGCCTCGAGGCGCGAGTACCCATCCTCGGGGAGGTGGGAGATCTCGTTCCACGCGAGCTTCAGCGAGGTCAGATGTTCCAGTCGTCTGAGTGCTGTCATCGGGAACATCCTGATCTTATTCTCCGCGAGGTCCAGGTCGGTCAGTGTGCTCTCGAGACCGGCGAACGCGTACTCGGATATCTTGCCGATCTGATTCCCCTTGGTATTCAGTTTAATCAGGGAGAGTCCATAGAAGCAATAGCTGGGTAACTCGTGGATGAGGTTAGCTTCGATGTCGAGGGCCGCCAGCCGGCTTAACAGCGCAAGGGCCTTCTGAGGTACCTGCGTCAGCTTCCCGGAGACCAGTCCCAGGGACTCGAGACTGGAGCTCAGTGGCACGAACGCATCCTCGCTGATCTCGCGAATCGCCGAATGGGAAATCTGTAGATGTCGGATCCTGCTGCCGTCCGGAAACGCCGCTCCACGTAACTCCTCTACCTTTCGGTCCAGCTCGTAGACACTCAGCGACTGCACCGCCGCACCTGCGACAAAAACATGCCCTATCTTCGAGGCTGTCCATCCACTCACCAGCATTCCTCACTCCTCCGTCGAGGTAGAATTAGGTACAATTAGGAGTCCTGACATTTCCTCCAAGGAGAGAAGAGGACCAATGTACCTTTCTTTTCGATGAGTTTACCTTCGGAACCGGCGACGCTCGAGACGCCGAGCAGCGCGACTCGCAGGGATTCCTCGGTGGCGCCGGCACACTCAAGAAAGAGGCCGTCCTCGAAATTGTAGCAGGGGCAGCCGGGTATCGATTCCGGAGGCGGGCACTCTGCGACTTTGGCTTCTCCTTCCTGTGCCGCGACGCACGCGGCCAACAAGACCGAATAAATAATTCGGATACCGGCGCGTGTCCGCCACCTTCGCCTGCTACGTGTCCGAACCGTTCGACCCACCCGGTTGCCCGTGCTCCACCACATCGTCGCACTTCTCTTCTTTACAATCATCGAGTGCTCAGCCACCTCATCCCCTCCTCGTCACTTCGCTTGCCACTTCATCCTCCAGTCCTCCCCTAAAAGCACAGAAAGAACAGGGATGACTTCGGCGCATTCGGAATTCGACTGCGACTCGCAGTCGAGCCGAGCCGAGAATTTCATTAAACCACTAACGTCTCCTCTTCTCTCTTTGTCGCATTTGACTCTGGCATCAGGGCCCTACGTAAATTCAATTTCCAATTTCCCAGCTGGAGCCTCGGAAAGGTCGGATTAAGTCGTTGCGGCCTTCTCGGAAGCTGTACTCCCTAATGAAGTATACCTACATTTAAAAGGCTGCCACTTGAGTTCGCTACTCCCTTCTTGGCTGGTAGCAACATTAGCATCATCATCATCCTGCAGCCGTGATAGCAGCCGTAGGAACAGTAGGAACAGTAGGAACTGTACCCAAAGGGGCTCTCCCGACAATCGTCCAATCGTCCAATCGTCCAGCCGTCTACCACGTGCTATGTAGAGCTTGTGTATTTAAATAAGAGAGAATGCAAATGGCTGCTGCACGCCAGGCTGAGCTTTTGCATGCTGTGAGACGGGATAAAACTTGAAATATTCGCAGCTGACTGACAGCTGACAGCTGACATCCCCACCTGACTGGCTAATCGGGATTCTTCATGGTGGACAATTGATGCCCGATGCTCTCGACCAAAGCGACTCGAATCAATTATAATTATATAGCTGTGGACCAAATGCTTGCCAAGCGTGCATCTTGCCCAGGATTCGATGACGATGGGCTCAAGAAGATGGAGCCAAATCCTGGAATTTTTCCTTTCTTATAAAGTTATAAATATATATATGTATATATCTATAGATTTAGATATACAATCTTCTCAGAACACAAGAGATTGCTCTCGGCGAGAGGCAGCTCCCTGTGCGGCCACAAATTCCGAAAATAAAAAAAAGCTAATTTTGCGAATTGAACGCCAGTAGTCGGCGAATGACGGAGAACGGTTGAATTTATGAAAGCCTCGTGGATTCCCTCATATTTCAAGAGGCATTTAATCCTTGAGTCTACCCCCTACGAGATACGAGTCAGCTACGGAGTAAGGAGAAAGTTATTTCCCTTGGCACCAGCATGGAAGACAGTGTGGATGAACCTGAGGGATCCGCGAAATCACGTCGCGTCGACCCTCCATTGAAATTGACACACTATCTCATATATAGGTTTTATTGAAACCTTTGGTTCTATTTAAATTCATCGAATTCAACGAATTCAACGAATTCAACGAATAATTCACTAAAGCAAGAAGACGGACGTTTTGCTTTTCAAGAGCTTTGAGAAGGGCCTTACCCCTTTACCGCGTGGCCTTGTTCGCATTTCCCCAGATTGTAACGGTAACTTGATTCATATGTCATAGTCTATCGGAAGCAGCACGACCAAGTAATTCTCTTGGCTTGACATTATATAAAGACATTCGGATGTCTTTTTGAGGATAGGAAAAACATGCTACATACCTCCAATAAGATTGTGTGTTACGAACTTTATCGAGAGGCAACTTGAACGTTGAAACTCTCAAAGGATGTCATCGAGAAGCAACTTTATTTTTCCAGCGTAAAATCTCGGGAATGTGTCAACTCGTATCTACTCGTTGGTGTCGCGTTCGACTGATACGAATTTTGCTTATACGTGGTAAAGGAACTGAAGGGGGTAATGCGCGTGAGTCGTGAGTTGACATTCTCACTCGAGGAATCTGATGCCGAGGTATAAAATCCGGCCGCCGGCACATGGAAACTAGCAGGTGGATATAGAGCAAGGGTGCTGCTGGTGGTTCCAGTTCCAGTTCCAGTTCCAGTTCCAGTTCCGGTACCAGAGCGGCGAGAGCCGTGCCGAGGAGGAGGTTCTTCGCAGAATCGATGACGCGCGCTCCGTGCTTCTTCCCGTGCAATAAATTTACGGCTTGGCGCCAGCTGCAATATCTTTTACGGGCGGCACGTGACCTCCATTTAAACTGTCTAAGGTTTAGTCCTAACCAACCCGAACTCCTTAATCCTCCCTTAACAAGTTAATCTAAAAGGGGGGGGGGGCAGCAGGGGGGATGCGGGATATCTGGACAACTTTTTCTCTCAAGTCCGTCCAATCGTACGTATTAACTTTGCTGAGGGATCCTACTCTTTGCTGCCTACTTCAAGGTATATAAATTGTCTCTGTGGATATTGTTCTATTGTAGGAATAGAAAATCGTCTTGTTTATCGAGATCGACTAAAACAACAGCAGACGAAAACGGCGGAGATTAAGATGAAAGGCCGAGGTCACGTTGTCAATCGCGCATTCTGCCGGTACCATCGCGAGTCGCAGCACAGCTGGAAACGATGACAAGTCACGAGGCGTTAGTTACGAGGGTTGCGAGGGTTACGACGGTTACGACTCTCGGAACGGACTGGCACGCCAAAATATCTTGAACATCATCGACGTCGGCCAGTTCTCGGGAAACTCCTAAAGTCAATAAGTGTACGGAATGAAAGAAAATGCGGATACGAGAAAGATTGGAGATGATGAAACGAAAATGTCTCAATCTCTTGAATGGTTTTGTTATTAATAATAATAGAAAGAAGAAAAAGAAGAAAAGAAGAAAGAGAAGAAAAAGCCAGAAGAAAAAGAGGGTGAACGGCCGGCCGTTCCCTCGCATAAAATATTTATCCAGTTAGGTGGGATTCTGTATAGGCATAGGTTGTAAGGTAGTGCGTAGCTGCGGCTGCTCTTAAAGGGTCCTCTCACTCTGAGCTCCTGTAGGAAATAAGGAAATACTATAGAGAAAAGCGGATGGAAAAGTGCATGGTGCGTCGTGCGCAAACTTGCTGGTTTACTGGTTGGCTGCTTTCGTGTCTTTCTCGCTAGTGCGTTTTAATTATAGCCACCACGAACCAACCGACCCAGAGGCCCCTTCGCTGCTCTTAACTCTGGTAGGCCATTAGGGCCTAGGTTATTTCTACTAATTATTTTAATTACGCATACCCACAGAGTATTCCATACAAAAAAAAAAAGAAAGGAAACGAAATACTAATTCGTAAATATATGTACACCGAGATTACACTGGCATAACGAAAGCATCGCTATAATCGTGTAATTTCTTATTCATACATGAAACGTGTCGACGTTAGGGGGAATCTGTGTTTTGAGCCAGGGTAGCTAAGAACTCTAGTCTCTGTGTAGATTTTGCCTAAAATAATGTGTCAAGTTTTTTTGATTGCGAGATTATCACTCGCTCGTGAGATTATCGACTCTCTCTTCCGATTCGTTAAATCCTCAATCAGATCCCAGCTACAATCTCAAACGGAACTTCTTCCTGCTCATTGCGCGAAGATCTGTTCCTCAGAAAGTGTACGAATCATCGAGTGAATGAGAAACGTCCCTTCGGCTATTCGCAAATGAGGGTAACAAGAGTGCAAAGAGCCATCAACTCGATTTTGCCTCGGAAGGCCTAACCGATAAGACGCAACCGCAATTTATGATTGCCGATTGCCGATTGACGATTGACGAGCAAGCACCAAACCGTAAGGCGACAGGTACAATCTGCGAGCAAGAGAG